CCCGGGAAAGCCCAGGGCAGCGGGAGGGAAGGGCCGATTCCTCCTCCTTTCCCCTGCGCTGCCCTTTGCCAAGGCCTGGAGCAGGGTTGGGGACATGGGGACCCTCTCATCCCACTCCCTGTCCCCTGGGTGCTGCCTTTCACCCCCCGCTTCCCACCCCTCACAGTTCCCACAGGAGCAGTTCAGGGAATCAGCAGCTCCTGCATTTTTGTCTCCTGACTCATTTTTCCCCCTGTCCAGACAGGACCAAGGGAGGGAAAGGCTTATCTTGCCAGAAGAGCAGCCAGGGCAAAAATCTCCCAGAAATCCCTCAAAAAGGAGCTGCTCTTCCAAAGTGCAGGAGTGGGCACGAGCTCTTCCCCTGCCAGGCAACCCTCCTAACGGAGCTGGCGCTGCTCCAGGGCCTTTTCCATGCTGGAGCTCCCAGGAACCCCAAAGCAGCATGACTCAGACCCCGTTCCTCTCCTGGGTATTTCCTCATCCCCCTCAGAAAAAACAATCCTGCAGAAAAATGCAGCTGGACAGGTTGAGCACGGGAAAGCCATTGCACAAGCCCTCCTCACCCCCACCTTCCTCTGCAAGTAACAGGGCTCTTTTTTTCCTGCAAACAAAGACATGGCTTCAAGGGGTGGCCTAAACTTGCTCTTGCTCCTGCAGTCGAAGGTGTCGCCCACAGAGACCGAGCGCTGCATCGAGTCCCTGCTGGCCGTGTTCCAGCGGTACGCGGGCCGCGAAGGGGACAACCTCACGCTCTCCAAGAAGGAGTTCCTGGCCTTCATGAACACCGAGCTGGCTTCCTTCACCAAGGTGAGCAAAATGCAGCAGCCTTTGCTGGCACAAGCAGCGTGGGGTTGGAAGAACTCACCTTTGCTAGCGAAGGATGGCCCCAAAAAAGTGTCCCAAGGTAATTCTGCCTCCCTGGGCCAACCCCTCTCCAAGGGGAAAGGGGGTTCCTACCTTAGCAGAGAAGGGCAAGAGGCAGCGCTGCCTCTAAGCGGGTGTTGATAGCAGATTCCTTGATGCTTTGCAGAACCAGAAGGACCCAGCTGTCCTGGACAGAATGATGAAGAAACTGGATTTGAACAGCGACGGGAAACTGGACTTCGCGGAGTTCCTGAACCTCATCGGGGGCATTGCGACGGCGTGCCACGACGCCCTCGTCGTGCAGGCCCCGGGCCGCTAGCCCAGGCGGCTCCGCCTCCCCCCGCACTGTGAACACGGCGTGAGCAAGAACCACAAAACCCACAATGGGTCCCCTTGAAATGTGGGTGTCCTTATTCCTCATTTTCTGAATAAAATAAAGGTTTAAAAGCCTAGCATGAGGCATGGTTTTATTATTGCAGCACAAGCCGGGGAAGTACTATGCAATCAGGCCAGACACCTGCAGAACCAGGGTCTCTGGTCCCTCTCCTCTGCTTCTCCACTGATGTGGGGACATGGGACTTCTCCCCCCTGCCTCACAATCCCCCTAAATTGTTCGTTTTCAGCCTTGTAACTGCTGGAAACTGCCATGCACCCAACTGGAGATCATCCAGGCTGCTAAAAAACATGCGGAAGGGCACAGTAATTCCAAATGATGTCACTATGCAAGGCCAAGATGAAGCCAGGAACATCACAAATAACAACTGGAGCAGTAACAAGAGCAATTACACACTAATAATTAGTGGAAGCACCCCCTGCTGGCATAATAAATTATTTCAGCAACACAGCCTCCATTTTCTGGGAACTTAAAACCCTTCAAAGCTGGCAGCTTAAGAGCACGGGAAGGATGGAAAAAAAACTACGAAAACGGGAAATGAAATCCAATATCCATTCTACTTCAGTAAGACTAAGTGGGCTGCCAAGGTGGAGGATCAAGATATTCAATTTATTTTATTCATGGGAGGAGTAGATATGGTTGGAAATAAAGCTGGTAGAGCCAAAAAAAGTCAACAATTGAGGTGTAATTTTGAGCTGCTCTCCCACCATTCCCAAAGAGAGCAGAGCTCTTTCTGAGCACGGATGGGTCCTGTGCTGGTCCCAGGTCCAAACGGCACCACGCTCCACCGAGGGCAGTATTTTGGAGGGTGTGCACTGTACGGTGCACCGTACCAAGGTCTCAGCAAAAGCCACCCTTCGCCCTCCAGGAAGGATAGGAAACAGCAGCCCGGAAAAATCACATTTAGCAGATCTATAAACAGACTCTCTGGTTGCTACTACTCAAAAGCATTGGAAAGTCTCACTACACCATTCCTGGGAGGGGGATGATATGTCAGATGAGAGCACGGGCACAACTATGGTGAGGAGATTCGACTAGGAGCTGGAATGCTGGGAGGTAAATGTTTTAGCACTGTGAAACAGGACCGTTCCCCTCCGATCCTCTCACCTCCCCAGGACGGGGCAGGGCCCTAGCGGAACTGGAGCGGGCTGATCCGCAGCCCGAGGACATCTTTGCCAATCTCTGTCACCTGGAGAAGAAAAGGGAGATGATTAATGCTTAAAAGCAACCCAATAATCCAACCCCACGCATGGATGTCCCAGCCTACAGTCTTCAGGACTGCAAGGTCAGTCCCTGAAGGTAGAACTTAAACTACTTTGCATTTCACAATTTCCAAACCACTCCTCCTCACACGCCAAGTCCTCAGGTGTTCAACTTTAGATCCAAAGCCCAGGTCAAGTGAGCTTAGGAGGGCAAAGGGGAAGGTGCTAGAGTGGATTCAGACGTTCAGATTCCCTTACCGTGGTGACACGGCAGATCTGCCCCTGGAACTCGGGAGAGTAGCAGGCTCCACTGAGCGGACACTTCTCCACAGGTTTGCCACGATATATGGGCCGGTAAGAGGCAGCACAGATGTCAAAGGGGTTGTGCATATCATAGTTGAGCTGGTAGGTGTCAGTGGGATTCTTCTCGCACGCGGACAGGATCTTGCGGGTCTGCAAAAAGGAACAATCTTGAGCAGAGACAGAGCTACAGAACAGCCCAACCAGAGGCTCCCACAGAAGGCGGACTAGATTCTACTGGTAACGAGCATAAATCAGACCGTTTCCTCCCACTGCCTCCTCGCTCCCACCAGCGAGCACCTCTGCTCTGATCACAAAAGCCTCGGCCTTGGAGGAAGCAAGTTGGTCCTCTCTGGACCAAGGAGATCTTGCTCCAAAGCACACGGAGCATCGGTGACACTCCTGACCACGCACTTTGCAGACCTACCTGCTGCGCCACCTCCGGCTTTGGACCCAGTTCCAGCAGGCGACGAGCAAAGGTAGCAGCTGTCTTGAAGTTTTTGAGTTTGAAAAAGAGGTTGAGAGCAGTGCGCAGCACCAAGATCATGTGGACGGGCTGCAGGTTGGAGTGGGTGAAATAGGCAGCCATCTGCGTCACGGAGAAGAAGGGAAAGGAGAGATACAGTCACTAGCAGTGAAGGGAGAAACTGTATGCCCTGAAAATGCTGCAAGGAGCACACCAAACCCCTCCAGGTGATCACAGCCACTTCTGCTTTAAAGGCAGGAAACCGAGGCACAATTCCACATAAGAGGAAATTGTAGAAATGGCCAAACTCATGATTTCCAAAGCCTTTTTAAGCCAAAAGGCTATTTTCTTCCCCAACTCCCTCCCAGCCATTCAGAGAAGAACGTCACAGAGATTCCCATACCTCACAGATCCGCTTCTGCTGCTCCAGGGTCTCCTTGGGCAGCTTCTTCCGCTCTATCTCCATCGAGAGCCCCACAATGTACTCCCGGCAAATGGCTATCAGCTGCTGGGCCTGGAGAGAGGAACACAGAGTCAAGCACTTGGCCTCCTGGGACAGGAGGATGCAGAATGTGGGCAAAAAGAGAGACATGTGCCTCTCACCTCAGCAATCTCCTGCTTGTTGTCCACCACCAGCAAGGGCACACTGAGCAAGATGGAGCGGAACTTCTCCACGGCCTCCTCGAACTTGCCGGCCGTCGTGAGCTGGTAGCAGAGCTGCAGGCGCTGGATCAGGTCGTTGAGTTTCAGCCCAACAGCAGGGAGGGCGTTCTTCAAGCCAGCGTCCTTCCTGGAGACACCAGAGAGGGCTTGGAGAGGGCCAAACAGAGCCACTGCAGAGGGCATCCAGAACACAGCACCCCTAGGCTGTCAGCTCAACTGTAGCTTGTCAGCAACACTTGGACCTGGGGCTACACTGGCATCCTCACCTTAGCCCCAACAGCATCTCTGCTTCTGCAATGCTGCCTCCTGCAACACCCAGCTGTCTCTGCATTAACACACTTTGAAAGGTTAACTTCATTTTTCTACAGCTGCTACTGTAAAAAAATCCCACCTGTTCTCTAGATTTCCTAGCAAAACCCACTAAACTTGAAACACTCCCATCAGAAAGGAAGGCTCCTCTCCTCTGGCTACAACTGAACTTCCAAGGTGCCAGGAAGGAAAAGGGCACAAGGCAAAGAGCACAGAGGAGGGGCTGGCCAGGCGCTCACCAGTTGCGGTGTGGGTATCCGTACATGCTGGGGAGACAGGGCAGAGCTTGGTAGGTCGTACGGCCACGGGCAAAGGTCTGCAGGAACAGCTGCTTGTAGGGCCCGAAGTTGGTGACTCCTACCTGGTCGTGAAGGAGCTGAAAGACATTGATCTGCTGAGTAAAAGATGCCTAGGGCTCTGCAGAGGCGCACAGGCAGCAGCACTCAGGCTCTGATCTCATTTCACACACAGAAGGCATGGGGCAAGCTCTTTCCCCCCGCCAGAACTCCAGGGTAACTCACTCTCATTGCTGTTTCGAAGGAGCCTGCCAGGATGTGATCAACAGGGAGCTGGGAATTGTTACACCACACCTACAAAAAGGGATGAGAAACCTCTTAAAAGAGTCACTGCGAACACACACGTTTCCTCTACCTATTCTCATCACCCCTGGCCCCTGTAACGAGCTGCTGTGTCGTGCTCACAGCTGAGTGTTAACAAGGACTGAGCCCGGAGAAATAGAAAAGAAAGAAAAGAAAAACCAAATTAGAAAGTTTCTTGGAAAGATGACAAAAGGTCTGTCCCATCACCTGAGCAGGGCTGGTGCCTTTGGTGGGTGGCACGAAGAAACCATCCTCAGCTCCTCCTGCTGGACCAGCAGGTACATCCTGGGGAAACACACAGGACAGTGATTGGCAATCAAGCGTTTGACACAAAAGAATTTTTTCCCCCCTGCAAGCTTTCACGGCCTCGTGGCAATGAGGGGATACACGAGAAACCCCACAAAACTGCTCTGCACCCAAAAGCACCCTACCAGTTCAGGGGGAAGGTCCAAATCTTCCTCAACTTCCCATCCACCTCCTTCTTCCTGCCCTTTTCCTGCACCTTCTTCTCCAAAGCCTTCTCCAGCATCCACAAAACCATCTGCATGGAGGAAAAAAATCTCATTAGAGCTCTTATGTGCACACACGTACACTCTCTCTTCTCTCAGTTCTAAGCAATGCTCGGGGATACACCCACCTTCATCCAGCTGCAACTCTGCATCCTCACCCCAGCCTTCAGTGCCGACAGTGTCAATATCAATATCTGCAGCCAAAGCACCTCCTTTGCCTTAAAAAAAGGACAGGATTATCCATTTACTCATCTCTGAGAAGACGTTAAACAAAGAAGCAACTTAGGCTAACAGCCTCCCCTCCAACTGTCAAACACCATCCTCTGTTAAAAGGCCAAAAGATTTCTTGAGAGATTTTAAGGGTCGTGTAAACATATAGCTGGATTCCAACCTCTGCCAGTAACAACAAATCTGAGGTTTAAGAGCAACAGCTCAGGGGCCACATGCACTGCCTCAGCTCTGCAGGGGATACAGCGATACCTTTGCTAGCAATTGTTCCTTCAAAGAATCCCTTGGAGACAGTCAGCAATGGCCAGTTGGTGTCCAGAGGCATGATAGGGGCTGGAGGTTGCAGCAATTTTGCATTGGGATCGATGTCTGGAATCTGGGCAGAAAAGAACAGAAATCAGCTCAAGGTCGTGTAAAGAAAATCCTCCTCTTTGACCTCTCCTCCTGCTTCCCCGGGCAAGACAGACAGTTTCAAGCTTGCAGATAAGCAGTGACTGGAGCAGAGGTGGTTCCTCCTCCTAGAAAGGAGCTGCCTCACCGGTTATACTAACACCATATTCCAGTGTCACCCTCTTCCCAGACTCTGGGGCTCTCATAGTGAAATAGGAAGCACTAATTCATTCACTAACCGTTTCCTTTTCAGGATCAAATGTTTCCTTCAGGCTTTCAGCTTCCTCATCCAGACCATGGGTTGCAGCTGTGAGATAGGCTAAGGACTCTGAAATGAGATATGGCCAATATGAGCCTCCCTCCTAAACTGCCTAGAGCAAGAAAAACTCATGCTGGCTTGCACTGCCACAAAGGAAAGATCAGCATCATGCTCAGATTCATAATTACAGCTTTGGGGGTACCATTGGATTTAGTACTAGAACACGTGCATGAACAGAGCGTGTTCAGATGGTCAAAGTTTGTCTCCAGTCTCCCGGGTTGTATTCTAGCTCTTACATCACCTTCCTCCCATCTGATTCTGTTTTTCATGTAAGGGATTATATTATCTGCCTCCAGAAATTACTGCTTATTCACACCACCTCTCCAACTTCTCCCCAGCCCACAGAGGCACATGTTAGTCTGATATTACTCACTTTGCCCACAGTTCTTCAGGATCCTCACCCTCTCTGACACATCTCCTAGATACAAGGCATTCTGGTAGTGGCCACTCATATCTTTACGGATCTCAGCTAAATCAAAAGAAAAAAAAACAGACATAATTGCATCTCTTTACATCTGGTTTTGATGTTGCCACTCATTCCCTTTTGGAACAACATTCTATTCCTTTTAGCTCGTTCTCCTTTGCTGCCATCCTGGGACTCACCTATCTTCATCATCTTGCGCAGCTTCTCCAGGTTGCCAGTGATGAGATAGAGGAAGGAGAGTCTATCAAAATTCTTGGTGCGCTGGTAGCACATCTCCACAATCTGGTGATTTCCCTGCAGCAGGGCCACTTCTCCCAGCTTCTCCCAGCAGTTCTTGTCATCCAGAGCCTTGGCTGCTTCCAGAGCAATCTAACAAAGGAATGAGATGTGGTTACAAGGGAAGACCTGAAAAAAAAAATAAAAACAGCTAAACACACACAGATTTCAGGGGTATTCCCTACCCCTCCAAAAGCAGTAAGTGGCTTTGCATAAGGCAGGCTTTCCTGCAGGCTCCCGTTCCTAACACCTGCATTAAGATTATAAGGATCATGGTATTAAACTGTGCCCTCAGCTGAGGGCCTGCATCTTAGCAGGGCTCCTATCATTCCCTGCTCTAGGAAGATCCACAACTCTCCCAGGATGAGGCAGATTCTGTAAAATGCAACGCAGCAAAGGCAAGGCAAGCGTTTTCTTCCCAACGTCACCCTCTCTTGCAACATAAAGTAACATTTGCCCCAAAACACCTGGCTTTTCCACAGCACCACCTGCCACCTCACCTCAATGTTGCCGCATTCCAGCGCCAGGCTGAACCGGGTCTTCTCATCCTTGACAAAGTGCAGGGCCACCTCAGGGTAGCCCTTTTTTTGCAGGTAGGCAATGATGGACTGGCCCACGAGCTTAGCATTCCTCACCATGTGCAGCACCTGCAAGAGAAAGGCAGGAAAATGGATGGATTATCCTCCAGCCCCACACCACGGCCAAAGAAAGGGGCAGTGCTTCGCTTCCCTCCTCACCTCATCGTATTTTCTGTTGATCAATGCCAGTTTGAACTTGAATTCTGTGGGATCAATGGTGAGGACCCGCGGACGACATTCCCTGTCCAAGCAGTACACGTTGTTTCCCTTCACCCGCGTGACATAAATAGGCAGATCCAAGGTGCGGATGATGCCGTGATCCCTGCACCAGAACACAGCATATTCATTTGACTTGATCCGCTTAGTCCGGATTATAAAAGCAAGACCCCGCCTGAAAAACAGCTCTGATGTACCAGGAACAATACAAGCAACCCAAGATGAGGCTGGTCAAACCTCTAGTTGCTTTTCCTAAGCCCACATTGAAAAAAAAGAAAGAAAAAATGCATTTACATCAGCACCAATTTTGGCCTCTATCAAAAAAGCATCATAGTCTGTGTAAGAGCTGCTACTTCAGGGACTCCATGAACCATGACTCACCCAGTAGTGACAGCGTATTTGATGTGGTTACTGGTGGTATAGATGAAAACCCCACTCTCATCCCAGGCGCCGCTCTTGACACGGATATTTTCATGGATATTACACAGCGACTCCAGCTTTCTGTTGCAGATCATGATGGCTGGAAATGAAAAACATAAGATTTAAGGATAGGGAACTTTCTGTTGCTAAATGTCTGCCTCAAAATGTCTGCCTCAAAATAGCAAACAGAAAAGGAATTGTTGCCATTTGCCTTTACATGATGAAGGAAACTAGCTAAATTCTTTTTGCTCAATTTAAGAAATCCTCCTTTCTACAAGCCCTTGCAGAAAGGCTTTGCTGAAGAGACAAACTGGAGGGGTCCACACTGAATGTCCCCAGCGGCACCTTCGCTTGTGGCCGAGACAGTGAATGGCCACGGCCAGGAGGGATTCTGCCCACCAAAGGGGAAGGGGCAGACGCGGTGCCCAGGACCCAGGGGAGACATTCAGGCCTCCTGTGCTCACCGTGCTTCGCCAGCAAAGCCACGTGGGACATGTCAGCCGACCAAATGACGTATTTCACCTTGGAGATCTTCACCGAGGCCAGAGTTCTGTGACAAGGACAGCACCGACATCAGAGAGCTGCACAACATCCCTCCTCCCCGCTGCAAGCTCTGGAGTTGTGGCCTGCACTCAGCACCCTGAGCCCAACGTGCAGATGCCCAACTCTTCTACCTACTGCATAGACTTTAGACCCTTTCTCAGAAACCTCAGATATGGTTAAAACCATCTTTAGAGCTTATATCCCTAAAAGCTTGCTACCACTTTGTGGCTCAAGAGCATTTTGCACAGATATAAAACCTAAGGGACTGGGCAAGCTCAGCCCCATCTTTTTTTTTGTTTTAATTTCTTTCCCCTTTTATAATACCCAATTCTGCAGTCACAGAATTTACAAGGCCATGGCACACATCTCCCTGTGATCAATGGCACGACGCCTGCAGCATAAATTGCACCTTGGCTACGTTTGCACTGTGCTTTTGGTAACAGTTGTTCGCCGTGGTTGGGACCAGCCTCATGCAGCCTGCAGCTGATGCTAAATTTTGGAGTGCATTAATAGCTATTACTTGTCCCCAGAGGGCACACGCCAGCAGGATTACAATATTAAAACTTCTCCCAGCAGGCTGAAACCTACCGCTTCTGCTGCACGTCAAAGAGGGTGATGGAGTCTGCATCTCTCAGCAGCAGGTTCCCGGTGCCAGCATAGAAAATCTCATCGCAGTTCGGCACCTGCACCTTCTTGGTGATCTCATTCTTCAGGTTTTTGATTAGAATCTGCCACACAATGAAGGAAAATATCACAGGAAAGTTAGGTACGATCTACAAACATGTAGAAGGTCATTTAAGCTCAGACACTGTAGAGCTAAACCCCAACGACGTGAGGCAAGAAACAGAAGACTCAGCCCTTCACAACAGAAATTTATCCTGCCAGAAAGCTCAACCATGTCAGTTTGTAAGGATAAAAAGCTGTGTTTCTTAGTGCACCTTCACACAGTGCAACCTTTCCCTTCCTCACCATTGCTGTCATTACTAGCTGTCTGATAAAATTTGCAAGCCCTCTCTGTAAGCAAATGTACAAAGGAAATAGAGAACACACTGTAAATTAAAAGGGAAAAAAAAGTTGAGCAAGTTGACACAGGGGAACAGAAAGGGGGAGAAGGGAAAGCCAGGAAGAGTAACAAAACAGGCTTGCACTAAAACTGAATTTACTAAGCAAGAAAATACTGAATAATGCAATCACATGCTAAAAACTGATGTGTACAAGGCAAAGATTAAGACACTTCCTCTTTCTCCTTCCACCAAGTAAATCCAAATGGGAATTCTTTCTATTACTGCCTTTCCTCTTTCTCCTACTGCACTCCAGGAGTGAGAACAAAGAGCTTTATAAAGAGCTATACCTGCTTTTTCCCCATTTACTCAGCACTTTCAGACTATGAAAGCAGCCTGGCTAATTTCAGTCCCCTTCTGGACAGCTTTCCTTTCTGAACTCACCTTCTCCAGCAGGCCTCCAGCTACCGAGAGGTAACATTTATAGTAAGATAAGCTGAACGGTATTTAAATTCAGTAGATTTGCATCATATTACGTTTCCTTACACTTGCAGCCCAGCCTCTACCGACACTGCTTCGCCAGACTACGCAGACCCCCGATAATTCTGTTAACCCAGTTTTCCTGCTTTGTGCTCAGACGCTTCCAAGTGACAACGGGCCCGGTTAAAACGACGACCCCGTTAGGGCTGTCCCTTACCGAATGCATGCGGTCCAGGACTGCGAAGCGGTTTCGAGCTACCCACACAGCTGTGAGCCCGGAGGAGCGCTTCCCTTCGGGGGCTGCGGAGAGCAGAACGCAAGGAATAAAACCTCTGGCAGGCGCCACATTAGTCAGTCTCGTTTGATCCCATCTTGTTGCTGGATCAGCTGCTCCCTCCTAATTCATGGGTAACCCGGGGCCATTCGCGGGGTTCCTCCCCGCCGTGTCCTCGCGGGTCTCCCCGCGTGGCCGGCGCCAGCCCCTCTCGGCAGCCAAGGCACAAGACGGCGCCAACGCCGCTGCCTGGCGCGGAACGGGGCCATCCCGGGCGACAGCGCCGTCTGTCAAGCTAACGAGCAGGGCCCCGCTGGCCAAACGCACGAGGGTCCCGGCGTCGGCGCGGCCCCCGTTCCCTCTCCCCCGCTGCAAAGCAACATAACGAGCTGCAGGAGGCAGCCCGCGCGCTCCCCAGCACGCAGATGTTCTCCGGGCGGCGAAATGTCCCTATAAACACAGCGCTCGGCACGGGAGCAGCGCGGGATGCAGCTCAGATGCGGGTCACGCACGGCCCAGGAAGGCAGCAGAGGGAGGGGACAGGCGAGGTGACAGAGCTGCTGCTTTGGGGGAAAAATACACAGTTTCTGCTTCTTCAGTTTTCTGTTCCTGAAAACAGGATTGTTCTGGGAGACCTTCTTACCAAGTCTAGTGTCATTTGTGGCAGACCTCTCAACTGCAATAAAATACTTTGAATATACTCAGTAACATTTAATCTATATAAAATGGCTAAAAAGCTCCCTTTGTCTTCCTCTCTCCAAAATACACCTGCTGACTGTACTGACAAAGAAATCTTCCCTTCGTTACATCCTCAGACACTAATAAATCTCCAGAGAAGGAAGCTAGATTCCAGGCTGTGTCATTCATCACTCCCACTCGCTTCGAAACCTTTACTGCCATGACGACAGAGGCAGGAGGAACCAGCTGGAGTTTCAGATCCCAAGTGGAATTCACAGTTAGGAGAAAGAAAAAAAGATTTTTCTAAATCATATTTGGACTTGTAAATTGCACAAAACTGATTGGAATTTGCCGAGAGGAAGAATGAATACTGGTGCCCTGGCACTGTCACTTTTATGGCCACTTTTCAGAGCATAAACTCTTTTAGAACAAAACGTATCTGGTTCAAATTCATCTTTGTTGACAAGCCAGGAAGGCTGCCTGCTGCGTCGAAAGGGAAAATGGAAAGTTCCTAATAACAAAATTATAAAATATATATTTCTAGCAGTAAAAATCTGGGATGAACATGAATTTTTCAAGTCAGCGAAGCTTATGATATAGTAAGCAGGAAACCTGCCAAATGATGTGTGCTGCAGGGGCACTGGAAAACATGGAAAAAGAGTCCAACAAGAGAGGCTTAGAGAAATGAACCTTTCATATACATAAAACACACACAGACACAGTATGAGAGCAGAGGAAGGGATAGCTATAAAGAGACAAAACACTAGGAAGGCTTAATGTGAAGTAGGAAACACCTACCATCAGGGTTCTGGGAATCTGCATCCTTGGGAATGGTGTAGAGGTCGTAAGTGCTGTTCTCTAAGTTGCTGGCTCTCTGCAGGAGTGGAATACAACGAAATAATAATAATAATAATAATAAAGAGGTTTTCCCCTCCCCATTACAGACCACTTGAGCAGGACAACTTTTAAAATAGTAAGGGAAAAAAAGAATGTTCAGCCTGTAAAAGGAGAGGAAAAGGAACAATTCGGCAGGTATCAAAAATAATGCACAAAACACTTCACCCGTAGAACTGATCCTCAGTCTAGCTTTGTGTCTCACATCCTCTCAGCTTTTGGGACTTGGTGTTAAGTTGTATATTGAGAAGAGAATCACATTCATAGCCCCTGGGCAAGTTTTTGAGCACATTCTGCAGCAAACTGGCTTACCGTGCAGAGGAGGACAGCGTTCTCAGCTGGATTATACGACATGTTGAATACAGGGAACTTGGAACCGCTGAAGAGGAATGATGAAGAGAGTTAGTAATGGGGCAGATCAGGATTTTTTCTACTATCATCTCATAAAACCTCTTATTTTTTGAAATACACTATCAACAACAGCTCTGTTTTGATGAATTTCCTGACTCAAAAACACAAAGGAAAGAACTAAGACATTGTTATTTGCTAAACAGATAGCCAGCATTTTAGTTTAAAGTTGCTTCAATTTTGAAGCTAGTTACAGGAAGAAAAAACACAAGAGTATACATATAAAAATTGACCCAAATCAACTTCTTTCAGGTTTTGTAGCTGATCTGAAAGAACAATCAACCAAAGCTGCATTGCTGAGCAGAAAATGACAATATAATCTATTTATCAATGAGGAACTAAGCAGCAATTCAGCTCCCTACCTTCGCAGCTGCATGACTGCCACGTCTTTGGAGCTGTTGAAATCGAGCTGGCGGAGGAAACGGTCCTTCACATAATAGAGCATGTTCCCGTGCACGGCGTAGGCAGGCCGCTCGCGCTCCAGTTTGAACACAATCATCCCACCGTCATGGCCTGCGAAAAAGCGTTTGAGAATTCACACGTCAGAACTAAACTCTGCGTTTTTCTTGTCATGCACATGGCATGACAGCCTCTAAAACAAAGAAAGATCCAACAAAATCACCAGCACTGTCAGCCACATCTACTACTTTTTCACTGGAAGAAGTGATTTTATTTCCTTCCCAAGTGCCATGTTTCCATCCCTTCAGATTTCCCAATAATCTAAGATCTGGAAAAGGATCTTTTCCATCCAGTACATTTAGTAACATCTGCAAAGTGTTTTGCAAAGCGTGCTAATGAAAACCAAATCCTTGATGCAAAGAGTTTCTGCATAAAGAACTTCCTTTGCTGTGGCCTGACAGACACTGAGTAGATCTCTCACCTGCAGCAAAGAGGTTGAGGTTGGGATGAGCAGCCAATACCCAGAAACGATCGTGGTCACGGCGAAACGTCTGGACACCAGTCCTAAAAGTGCAAGAGAGGAACGAAGGAAAATAAACAGAATGGAAACCTTGACGTAAGTGCCAGTTCACAAAATGAAGAGAGTAGAGAACATCTCTGGCATTAATTATGGGGAAATCAGCTCAAAAATACTGAACTCTAAACTAACCGTTTCGACATATCCCAGACCCGGATGCTCTTGTCTTCGGAATTGCTGAGGATCAGCTCCTGGCGCGGGTGGAAGACGGCGCACGAGACATTGTTGTAGTGTCCACGGCAAGTGTCGACCTCCCAGGCCTTCGATTCTAACCGAAGCAGAGCACAATTAGGAAGCTAATGCTTAAGAAAGCTCAACTGCACGTAGCAGAAACAAGTCACTTTGGAAGGTGGTTTCCATGGGCTGCTGGTTACTATATCACTGGCTCCGGAACAGCTCCCTTTCTTATTGCACTAGTTTACAACCAAAAAACTTCAGAGCCAAGCCTAGCTGTTCCTACGAGCCTCTGCTCAGATGTGGCTGAAAAACAAAAGCAGCTTGAGGTGTTGGCTAGAGAATGAGCTCTCAGACTGCAGAAGGCAACATTGCAGCTGCCTTATTTACCCCCGAATTGCACAGACAGGCTCACGAGTGTGTATTATCTTCAGGCTCAACCTATAGGTGTTTGGACACAGGTTTAACTCTTCTACTTAGCCTGCCCTTCTTTCTGTGAGCTCCCTCTTACCGTTCATGCGCCAGATCTTCACTTGGCGATCGTCGGCTCCCGACACGATAAGGGGCATGGTGGGGTGAAAGGCAGCCCAGTTCACTCCACGGTCATGGCCCTGCAAGCAAAACAGTCACCTGAAGCCTTCCCAGGCTCGGAGAGAGTCTAGGAAAAGGGACTGGGAAAAGGGATACCCCCCCACACCCACACAAGGCAACAGCATCCATGACTGAACTGAGGTTTTAGTTGTATAGAGAAAACCACATCTGCTAGGTTGCAGTGCAAACATCTCCAGATTTCAGTCTTACACTTCTTAAAAATAAATGCCCTATCCTGCAACAGCGTGTAAAGAGCTGACTCAAGTATCGGCTCCTTTTTCCTCCGCTGTTTTCCAGATCTTTTGGAGGATCGTTTGAAGCCATCGCAGGGACTTCATTAAGTAAAGCTGCAAAGGCTGCACAGCCACATATACGAACACGGTACCTCAAGAACGTGCTTCACAACTGCATCTGTTGTCCCAAACAAATCCACCCCAGTTATTCCCCTGACATCCGACTCCACAGCTCCAGGGGACAGGTTCTTCTTCCTTAGGCCTTGAGGAACAAAGGAAAAAGGAGAAGCAGGGGCAGAGGAGGCAAAAAATACACAATCAAGCCAGTATTTTTAATTTAGCAACAAGCTGACCACTCTTCGGGGCTGTTTACCCACATTTTCAGGTGGAAAGGAAGAATGTGAAAGAGTGGAAGAGGGTGAGAGGAACATCCAGGAGACCCTTCCACTTCCTCCAAAAGTGCAAGCTCAGATTAGACAAGTCCAGAGGAAAGTCTCAATGCAGGACACCATACAAAGGGTCACCTCAGCTCCCTGAGAGGGACACGGAGCAGAGGACAGGTGACACATTCCTGTTTCTCATTCCTTACGTGCTAATCTGAGCTTGCAATTTTTCGGCTGTTTTCTTCTGCCGGTTTGAGGACTGCTCTCACTCACCTCCTGAATTTGGACAATCTACCTGGAAAACACGGGATTTTCAGGGGCTGTTTTAAGAGGGAGATTTAAGGTAAGGGCCTAGGCTCAATAACCTCCGAGGACGCTGGTCTAATTAAATCAATGCATCAACCAGTGGCCTGAAACAAAACATGAATGCTCTGGGTGAGGTGCACACACAGATGGTCCAAAAAGCAGTGAAGAGCTTGAATGGCTGAGTGGAAGCTTCTACAAAGCTGACACAAACCGCCCCAGAAAGCGAGAAATAAAACATACATAATCGAGGGATGGTGAAAGAAGAAACACAGGGCTTTTAAAGGAAAAAAAAATACTTGAGCCTTTGACAAGCCAGTGAAACAGGACTGAAACACAAGTGGAAAATTTCTGGGCAACTGCACAGATCTAGAGGGAAGGCAGGACACTCACAGAACATACCAGCCTCCTGCAAGGAGGGGAAAGTGGAAGGGCTCAGCACACAGCAGATATTAGGCAGTGTAAGGGCAAATCTAGAAAGGAGACACAGTTCAACAGGCACAAGAGCACAGCGAAGCAGTCAAACGGGGACATACGTTATTGCAACCAACAAATGGGAGCTTAGGAGGGAAGAAGGAAGAGAAATGTAAAGCATGGGGATGTTCCTGGGATCCATTTTGGGAATACAGAGGTTAACACACTAGTGACAGAGTCCTTCACCATTTTTTTGCTGTATTCTCCTCTTCTTCCCAATTCTAATTCTTCCCAAGAAGCTCTATCCCTTATCCAAGACTGAAATTAAGATGGGCTCTCGGGTGCTGACTGTTCTGCTGCTAAGCACTTGTTTCATCCTCTCCTCTCAGCCCGTTGCATTCAGGGAGCAATTAAAAAGTGCAGGGGAGGCTGAAGTGGTGCGAAGATTTGGCCAACCATGAATGTAACCCACTGTGGATGCCCAGGGAGAGGCCAGGTCTAAAAACACTCTCTGAAGTCTGAGCCTAACAGTGAATTAAAGGTCAAAACCCTCCGATGATCCTCACTTAAGCTGCTCATCCCAATAAATTTGAGCCTGGACAGAATAAGGAAGATCCCTGCCTAGCCACAGACATTAATATTGGCCAACTGGGAGGAAGGCAGGGGAAAAGGAGAGAAGTTGGTGGATGATGTTACTGCATGTACAAAACACTCTGCTCATGAACACTAACACTCTCCTCCTGGGTTAACGATTAAAGAGAGACAGAACAGGTTATTTCACAGTTGCTGTAGGTTAATATCATCACTGTAAGCAAGGGCTTCATTCCAAAGCACAGGCAAATCATACAGGTTTCATGCATTTTAATATATAAACATGCCCATCCTGACTGCATTCACAGAATCTCTCTCAGGAGACTAGCAAGAAACGGGACTCTTTAACCTGCACCCTATTTGTTCTGCATTGAACATGGTTTTGAACATGCAGCTCTGAAGACAGAACATTTCGGTCCACAGAACTCAATTTTTCCAAATGGCTCCATTTTTCACCTCTCCCTATTTTTTCTCTTCCCACCAATATTCTTGCCCTGAGCTGTCTGACCAGAGCAACAGCTGAGTCAATAACTCTAAAACCCCTCATCACATATCAGCCGAGGAAAAGCAAAAAAACCCTCTGTACCATCTCCAAAGCTATTTGGCAGCAGGATTTCTGCTGAGAGAGAGTCTGTGGGAGAAGGCAGCAGCGCAGCTTGCTGGCAGAAGAGCTGTTAGACTCCCCGTGCTGGCAGGACAGAGAGGGGGGACAGGTTTTAAATAACCACCTCCTGTCCCCAGCCCCTCCTGTTGACACAGCTGGCCATGTCTGAGCGTGTACCACGAACCAGGGTGCCCAAGCAGAACTGCAATGCTGAGAGTATCAGGTGGGAGAGGAGCACGGGCTCTGGGAGCTCACAACATCACAGCAGCCTCAGCAGGGTCCCACCTGCCTCCCTCCAAGCAGCCCCTTCTTTTCTACTATCTACCTTTCTCTCCATTTTCTGCTACTATCTACCTTTCTCTCCATTTTCTGCTACTATCTACCTTTCTCTCCATTTTCTGCTACTATCTACCTTTCTCTCCATTTTCTGCTACTATCTACCTTTTTCTCCATTTTCTGCTACTATCTACCTTTTTCTCCATTTTCTGCTACTATCTACCTTTCTCTCCATTTTCCTTTTTCGTTCAGGTATCTTCTGGCAATCGTTAAGTGACTTTGTGGCCTAGCTCTAGCCTAAGAAACACCTAACAAGAAGTTATTAGCAAAATGCTTTGGAGTTTTGAGTTGCAGATGAGCAAGCTGCGCACGGAAGAAGCCTCTAACACTGTCTTCCTGCACAAGCAGGTTACAAACAAGGACAAAAAGAAAAGAGTCTTTTTGTCCTTTTTTGTTGTTTTTAGCTTTATCTCAGAATGAAGGACTTATCGTTGCCTCCACAGCTTTTCAAGGGGATAAAGATGATCCACAAATCTCAGGAATTCCTCCTACAGGGCTGGCACATCAGCAAAGCTGACTCGAACAGCACTAAAAAGTCAGACTGGGATCTCACAGGGGGAAATCTCCGTCTTTAGGGGTTTCCTTCCCTGCATAAAGCCACGGTGACTTGGTCTAGTGCTGAAGACCTGCTTCAAGTGAAGGCTGGATTAGATGGACCCCCGAGGTCCCCAGGAACCCACGGTGCCAAAATTGAGGACTCGGGACTCTCCGGCAGCAGAGGATCGTGCACTTCTCTGCCCGAGGCTCCCAGTCACCCGGCTGCTTTTCCTGCTCTCAGATACGAGCCGACCCGTTCCTGCCTCACTTGGCTTTCAGCAATTGCAGTTTTGCCGTGGGCTGAGCCCCTGGAGACCCCCTGGATCTGGGCAGCTCACCAGAAATATCCCAAACGCGCACAGTCTGATCCAAGCTGGCCGACACGACGAGGTCCTCAGAGGGGTGAAACTGGGCACACATCACGTAGTGGTTGTGTCCTGTCAGCACGCTGCAACGAAAAGAGGGCAGAAAACACCAGTTAAACAGAAAGAGACCATTCACTAGCATCCAAATAAAAGAGCAAAGACTGAAAGATACATTCACAATCACCAGTTTTGTTGGTTCTACTTCTGCAACTATGCCCAGTTTTTAAACGTTATTAGTATTTCCCAGTTGAAAACAACCCCTTTAGGCTGCGCCCCAACCCTGCAGTTATTTATAAAGCACCCATTGCCTTTACCAAACACAAGTCCTGGACTGCCAATTCCAAACACGAATCGTCTGATCGTCAGAAGCACTCAAGATCCAGGGATATTCCTAAAAGGAACAGCATTTTGTAAAGGAAATAATCATTCATCTCCACTGTCATCTCTACCCTAGACGTTTTTCTCCCTTCAGACAATTTCTTTGCCAAGGACTCCCACTCAGGGAAGTGGAATGGATCCCATTTCATACAGGAGGAGCCTTACGTGGTGGAAGAAGGTGGTGCGAATGTAATCCAAGTGCCCCAGCAGGGTGAAGAGACAGCGGCGCAGCTTGTAATTCCAGACCTGAGCACACACAAACAGAAGGGAACGGATGCACCACGGCCCGCCGGGACCTCTACGGTCTCCTCGCAGGACACGGAAGACTCCAGCTCATTTACAAACCCCTCTATTCCACAACAGGGCTCTAACACAAGCGTAAAGAGGCTTCAATTTGTTAAAATTGCCACTAATCTTAATTACCAGCCAATCTTAACCTCCTAGCACTATTTCTCCCCTTGCTCCCTCCCCCTGCTGGC